TCTTTGACATGCACATGGATGATTGTGAAGTGGTGGTGTACTGTGTTCTTTTTTTTGCTATCCACTTTGATAGCATCGGAGGCAGCGTTTGCTGTTGGTGCACCTGGCATAGTGCTTTGTGATCTGTTCACATATTTATATCGCATTTGATGTACTCTGAAAAGTGTTATAGGATGTACACCAGCGCTAGTACCTGTTTTGTGTTGGTCCCATGTCTTTATTGTGTGAGCTTTAAGACTTTTAAGAAATACAGTTTGTCTCGCCTGACCCTGTCTACGACTTGAAACAAGCAGCCTTTTATTACATAATCACTTGCGTCATTCGTGATTTGGAATGATACACCATCCACCGGGTATGCTGGTGTTGCTGAAAATGTTATAGCGTCATTGAGTTCTTCCCCTTTCTTAATGAGACCAGGTGTTCAAAAGTTCACTATGTTCTGGTTCGTTTTCACTTTCATGAGATTGTGCAAGTGTTTCGTTATATGTGCATATTGTGGTATATGGTCCCGCAACGACGTAAGTCCCTTTTGGTTAATGGCAGTGGCCAGTCAATTGTTTTGTGTCCTTGCCTTGATTTCTTAGTCTGTCTTGAGCTCTTGTATCGCTTTTCAAGCTTAAGAATTGGTCTACACAAGCGTTCTGCTCTCACCACGTCCATGCTACTGTCGTGAAGTTCATTAAGCCATTTCTTCATTAGGTAGTCTGAGTCCTGGGCAAGTTACCAATGATTGATAAGCTGTAATCCTCGACGTTGTTATCTGTTTTAGCCTCGGTCGTGTCAGTTTGTTGTAGCAATTCCTATACTAGCGAAGAGTGTTGTACCTATAGTATGTTGGTACTCGCGAACATGTCTTTCGCCACCGATACAAAATATATTATGTCACGACAATCAGTCATACTATCATACTTGTTGGCTGGCCACTAGGGGAACACACTCATTTTAGGTATCGTATCCATCTCAGGATCAGATATTTTATCTCCGACGCGTGATCTGATTAAAGTATACTCGCTCGTAAAGCCACTGATTGCAATGCACTCATTGTGATCGACTCCTATCACTGCCCTTCATGGCTATATTGTATAGCTCTGTTAACCATTGATCTACTTATGGTATCAATTTTTTTGTTAGGACCAATGCTAATTTGTAGAACAACTAATACATCCATTAGTTTCTTCGTCATTGGTCTTCCTATTGACGCTCCCACGTAATATATATATGTAGTGTCCTTCGTATCCTCTTTGTCAACAGGTTGTCCTAGGTCTACTTTTGATTATACTGTGCGCCTCTTTTGCCGTATCGTTGATCTTACTGTTAGTGCTTTGTGTTTTTTTGAAGTATTCGGATATCACCCACGATTCTACTTCGACCTTTTCATGTTGCAATGTCGCTTGTGTGTACTCCTCGAATTTAACTTTCTGAAGCTGTGCTAACAAGGCGCGCTGACGTACCGCACAATCTTTCAACAAAGCTGATGGATTAACTTCAATTTTGGTTGGTTCTTCTAATGCGGTGCTTCTGCTACTTTCTTGGGCATTCAGACGGCCAATAATTTGTTCACCGTTGTTGCCCTCAGGAATCGTCACACCAAAAGATACAGTATAGCTACGTAACTCCGTAACCAGCATGACAGCAGTCGATATTGTAGGCACAGATTCTTTCCATGGTAAAAACGGAGAGGGGTAGGGCGCACATGGATGAGAAAGAATACTGTACTAGCCATTGGTCCATCGCTCGGCAACTGCACAGTTCACTAAAACCATATCTAACCATGGTCCTTCTGCATTAGGAAATCCATTACTGGAAAGAGTTTGCAGAACCCATGCGGGTACATCGCTTATATAAAAGTTGATTTGATTGTGCGGGGATCGTATAATGACTACCCAAAAAGTATTTTATCCACCTGTCTCGTCTCGCTTTATACCCTTTGTCTATATACTTCATTGTGTATCTTTTCAATCAGTTCTGCTAGTGTAGATTTAACTGTTTCTGATGCAAGAGCTTGTATGTACCAATGCTTGTTCGACGTCGATAATCTGATTGACAGAATCGTGCACATGTATGAATGACTTAGTAAAATCCATGTCGGTTACATTTCCGTGAAACGTTCTGGCCTTGATGGTATCATTGGATGTGGGGTGTGAAACACAGAAGTCGTCCCATGAAAGTGAAAGCTACTGTCTTACAGCCTGTAAATCTAATATGTCTACTACACCCCTCCTATATCGTGTATCAAATATCAAATTGTTACCTCCGAATACTAAGTAGTCAATGTCATATGCTAGGATATATTCTATATATTCAATACGTTGCAAGTGCACTAATTGCTGCTCCGCTTCAGTAGGCGCTAGTATATAGTGCACACCCATTTTGGGTAGTAGTCTCATAATATTATATGCTGCGGTTATGTTGTGTGCCCCTACGTAAACTCTGCATGCAGAATCAATATCGAATTGATCGAGTTCCTCTCTGTTCACTTCATGCTTGCGATCTCTGCTTTCCGCTCGTGATGCATTTACTAGTTTCCTGGCAATCGATAGCCATCAAGCACACATATGGGAGGGTGTGTCGGACTACCCCATACCAAAGTAAGCGTGAGACAACTTTCAATGTGCAGTAGAAACGGGTCCCAGTCGTTGTATATTACGATACTCTTGGCGTGTAATGACAGGTATGTGTGGACCAGAAATGACATATCAATTCCAACACTACCATTTGTACTGGAGCAATTCATAATAGTCATATACAGTCTTACTCGTAGCATCAAGTCCTTAACTCCCATCGTGTGATCGTGATAAGGGCGCCCATTGATCTCTCCATTGCGAAACAACTTGAAGCGTACAACTGGCAGTACGCTGAAATAAATAGTCAGACGTGAAAGAGCATACTCGAATGCATGGGTCTACTATTTTTTATAGCTATACACGAGTTATAATTAAGCGCATACGCGTATCGCAAGCTACTATACTAACCGTGTGTGAGTGTGCGTGTGTGCATATTTTGTTATGATTATATTCATTTTACCATTTCACGTGTGAATATTTTCCCATGGTTTCTCGTCTTATTTCTATTTTGATTTTCTTTGATCATCATTTTTCTTTCTTCTTCTTTCTTTCTTATTAGGGGGGGGAGGGGGGGGGGGGGGGTGGATCTAAAAAACCCAAACTAGAGGGTAACGTAGCGTCGGACTCCAGTAAACGTACGCTACTATTCACTATCCCGCTAGGGTAGTGGTTAGTGGCTACCTCTCGATTAATAGGTAATATGTAAGAATACGTAATGGTGGCCGATTTTCATCTTAACCCCCTAAGGGACAAGTTTTCCCCTATCCAAAAACACCAACTTCTAGATAATCTAGCACTGTAAGATGTCACTTTCTACTCCTACGCAGGCTAAAAAGCATAGAGTTGGGGGGCTGTAGCATCCAGGGACCAGATCATCATAAAGCCAATCCAAATCTCAAAACCTCAGAATCATCAACTATTGAATTTTGGAATTGGGATTCGAATATTCTTGATATTAGAGTCATCAGAAATATTAGAGGTAGAGCAGGTATGTTATACCGGGACTCCGCGTGTGAGAGAAACACTCAAGTATAAACCAGAGTCTAGTGACATAGTAAACACAAATAAAGACCTAGTTCGGTTCTCTCAGCCTATGGACTTTTCCTAGCTGAGATAACTGTACTTGAGTGTAGCGTATGGAGAGTAGAATGTATACGATTAAGGATACAATAGACCTCTTCACATCAAGTACGATTATCTCGGGGAAAAGTCCTTAGTATGAGAGAACCAAACTGAGGCTTTATTTGTGTTTTCACTAGACTCAGGATCTACTTGAGTGTTTTTCTCGTATTATGTTGCCCGTGGTGCATCTCCAGGGTAAACTGGTTGTGATGCTGCAACATGTATGGCAGGTTGTTCCCGCGTTGAGTCAAAGTATGGAGACTTCACTCCCATCTTGGCGATTAATGTGACACCCCATGGGGTCTTGCCACAAGCTTTCTTGCCTTCCTTGAGGAAACTATTGTTTGTGTTTCCACTAGCATCGGGTCTTTTTCTAGTAAAGGCGAGAATTTTGTAAACCACGATGCATTGGGGTAGTATGGTACACATATCGTGATACTGGTTGCCTGTTCAATAGCTTTGTCAAGGACATTAGGATATGAGTTCCCACGGTGGGTTAGCCCACGCATTAACTTCCTGCGCCCACTTTTGTTGTAACGCATTATGTTCATTGGTGTAGTATTTATCTGTGTGTGCATTGTGTGCCGATGCAAATAGATCTACTGTGAGTTTCCCAAACCGTCGTTCAGTTTCTTAGTAGAATCTGGAGTGTGATATTCAGTCTGTGGTTAGTATGGTTATGGGCATGTTATTTTCCAAGGTGGTGTACTCTTGGCTGTTGTGTGTTGTCTCGTCCGCTTCTTTTGATACATTTAAAGTTTAAGTATTAAAAGTGTCTTCGTGTAGACTCGACAACAGATCTGCCATCTGGTTGTCCTTGCCTGGAACGTGTATGATAGAGAAGTGGTGTGTAGGTATTGCCATTAATTTTTATGTCAATGTGCAAGCGTTTGTCTCGTGGTGCGGGAAGTAAGCATAAAGGTTGGCAATTTATGTCATTTGCATCTATTAACAACGGTTCCTCATCTGTATGTACATTGGGCCTATCAGCCTGGTCAATCATGTTTGCTTCCGCCCACCCGTTGTTTCAGTGCTCATCACCCTCTGTGATGTCATCTACCTTGCCGGAGGCAATGGACAGTCTTGCTATTTGTACGTCTTTTTTTACCTGTTCCTCAGCCTGCTTGGTCTGATTCGAAGCCTTCGTGGGACATTTACTGAAGCGGTGTGGGGCTGGCATCACGTTACAATAAGGACATGCACGTGCTTTTTGTTCACAGTATTAGTGCTATTCTGAACATGGCTGTGGTTGGTTGTCTGCGTATTTTGTCGCTTGCGCTGCTCTCTCATTTGCTCTCTTAGCATACGATCGCCTTACACATTAGATGCCGTTCTTATGTTTGCCTCAGTCATAGTGTGAAACTTAGTGTGTTCGATACCCGATAAGTGTCCCTCACTCCCATCAGGTTGTTTGTCTGCCATAATGAGAGCATCCACCTGCACTTGTTGTCTGTAGTACATCAGTGCTTGGTATCTCTGGGCTTTGAGGAGTTGGAAATGTATGGCTTCTTTATATGAGTTGCGGTAACGCTCCTCTAACATCTTCATTGTCTTATGCGCACGCTCTGTGCGCACGTCGACGTTCAGTGTCTTATTCTGCATGTCATTGGAAACCTTCTCTAACAGATAGTTTTCTGGATAGGTCTGAGTCTTTCAAAAATGATTCTATTGAATTGTTCAGGATCCTTGAAATGCTTGGTCGTCTGCGTATCAGAGTCTCTTAAGTTATTGAGCGCTGCCTTGGTCTTCTCCATCGCATCAGTGAAATCTAATGGGTTTCTCACCAGTGCTGGGTACTGACACAGTGGCATGGACTTTGCTAAGAATAGGTCTCTACATTGCGTAGTGAATTCTATAATGTCCTCGCAATTTTCCATTCTGAAGTGACTATCTTTGGGTAGCTTCGGAAATTATGAAGTCCTTAATAGTTTTGCGAGAGACGGTTCATTTATCTGGTCGCCTAGGCGTGCACGCATGAGCTCTAACTCACTAATGTATTGACTTATTTGATTAATTTCATCCTCCTTATCGTCCCCACACTCATTGATAGCTAGATCATATCTTCGTCTGAGCTCCTTGTCAACGAGTTACATGCGTTGTTATGGTTACTGATCATGAATGCCTACTTTTGTCTATTTCTAGGCGCATTACTGAAGCTAGTATGGGTACCCCACCCGGTGTGGGCTGGCCGGAGCCACTGTCTGGGCTTGGCCCCCTCATTGGACTGACACTTGCGCCATCCGTGCCCACGCCATCTTCTTCCCCGCCATACACGCCTGCTCTGGTTGCTGTTGGCATCTTGAGATTTCTGTGATAGTGTGTGGGTATTGCGGGTTATTAGTAAAGACTCTTGCTGTATTCTGTGCGAATGCGGGCTTCATCCCCCTTGTCTTTGGTAATAGTTGCTATCAAATTAATAAGATTTGAATATAGTTTTACTTACTTTTGTAGTGCTATTGCTTCGCTGCACTTCCGTAGGAAGTGTCTACCGTTCTGCTTGGTACGGTAACTTGTTGCCTTGTTCCCTGTGATTATGAGGGTTTAAACGGTGTTTGTTAGCCAAGCTTATTTCGTCACGTGTGGACGTACTTGTGATTATTCCATCCTATGAGAAATTATTTCTCATGATGTTAATGCGATGTTCGGTCCTAGTGACGCCACTGGAAAAAGTTCGGTCCTAGTGATGTCACCCCTTGATGTTCGGTCCTGGTGATGTCACCCTTGATTGTTCGGTCCTAGTGACGCCACTGGAAAAAGTTCGGTCCTAGTGATGTCACCCCTTGATGTTCGGTCCTGGTGATGTCACCCTTGATTGTTCGGTCCTAGTGACTGTACCTAGTACTTTTGGTGCTGTACCCAACTGGTGTGTACGTGGTGTCACTTGGAACATTTGTCCCTATGGACTCGTACCGAACTGTTGTGATTGTATTGTCACTTGAGATGTTTGGCTCTATATGTTGCCTCTCTCTCTAATATGTTTTCTGTATCTATATGTTATATATAAGAGTGTGTGGTTGTTGTTCCTGTTGGAATCTTTGTTTTCTATCTCGTTATGTATTGGGATCTCGATGCTCCATCGTAAACTATGCGTTTTTGTACAGTGTCATCGATTTCCTGTTCTTGTGTCCAGCTTGATGCACGTGTCGTGTGTTGTCTGATCATGGTTAGTATAGTCTGTATTATGTCCACACCCCTACCTTGTTGTCTTGTGACTTGCTCCAAAGAATAATAGTAACGCTTCGCTTTGTCCTCTATACTCGATGTTGTGTCAAATTTTGGCTGATTTCGCGTTGCCTCCCACTTAGTCGATGACCCTGTGTTTGTTTGAAGCATATATAGGATGGCTTGTTCCATTGACACTGCTCTCCCTTTTGTGACTTGTGTCTAGGTAGGATGATTGTCCTCAATTATTGTGTTCTATTTCTTTGTAATTTGAAATCTAATCGATTTCGGACTTTCTCCCATTTTACTTACTATCTCGTGTTGGGTAGGAATGTATATCGCTAATAGCCTTTGCATGTGTTCATGTCTTGTATATTTGTTTTATTCAATGATCTTGAACTTTTTCAATCACGTTTTTATACTGATTGCATGTGATTATTCTTTAGGAATTATTTGTTCTTTTGAGCATCTAAATGTCATGTGTGTTCACCGGTTATGATGTTTGCCTTGTATTGTCTCAGTTGGGACATATTTACTTGTTTTGGCCCGCTCTATATTTGATTCAGTATGCCATGGACTGTCTGCATGTAGTTTGCTTATTGTAGCCCGCGCTATACTTGATTCAGTTTACCATGGACTGTATGCATGTATTGTGTTCGGTGAATCTACTGTGCTTTTTGTGGAATGTGGGGCGCCTAAAGTCTGTGCCACATCCACTACTGGGCCTTAAGTACGACCTTTATAGTAAACTATCTGCTTTCGTTATTTCTGCTTGTAAGATCACTGTGGTATGTTCTCCTCATAATTGGCCTTGAATGTGATTTTAGCATCAAATTCGCCCTCGAATATCAGCCTTGATTACCTCAATCTTACTATGCCTAGTAGAAGATTGATTATCCTTCTATGAACGTATACTGGTACCTCTGTGTCCCTTGTGGCCCTTCTACTTATTTGCTTGAATAATAAGAAATGTGACGATTTTTCTGGTCATCTCAAGAATATAGCTTGATCTCCCGCAGCTCAGTAGTGTCTGTTATTCATCTATCACTATGTGTGTGTTCCTGTGTAGCCATTCTACTATATTGTTTCTTTGTTTTCAGCTGCAAAGTGATCTGTACAATCTTGAATGCTCGTTTTTAAGCTCTGCTCTTGACTAGGGTTGATTTCCTCGACTTGAGTCTTAATTGTAACTGTCCTAAGTGCTTTCTAGCTGTTTATAAATATGTTTGGCTAGTACACACTGCGTTGGTCTGGCTGATAGTAAAATCACTACTTTGATCTGGCTGTTTGTGATAGTAATGCTTGTGCTATGTTGACACTAGTCTGTCTCGTGTGTTTGGGCAGTGTTCTTGATTTCAGTACATTTTCTTGTCTGAAAATCCCGAACATTGATTAATTAATAACTGACACTTTTGCTTTTTCTACACACTGAGGCTACTAATTATTCACACTTCGGCTCGTATTGTCGTGCCTCGTGGCCAGCTTACTTCTGGCCACGATATATTTACCTTAGTTGTCGCACTGTGGTTACGTTATTACTCAAGGAGTCTCTTTGTCTGGCTCCTCTCTGTTCTTCTGTCTTTAACAGCTCGTCTTAGCAACTCTTCGTACGTTGGCCTTCCTGAGTACCCTGGTTTCCTCGCTGCTTCCTCTTAGTTGTAATAAATAGAGTTATTATTACTTTTGGGTTTTCTTAAGACAGTCATGAATCTTTGTCACTATCTGCGATGATTTCACTAGTGTGTTATTATTTTTGATGACTTATCTAAGTAAGGATATTGTGAAAAAAAAATGTAGAGTATGGAGAGTAGCTTAAAGGTACACGATCAAGGATACAATAGACCTCTTCTCAAGTACGGTTATCGCAGCTAGGAAAAGTCACTAGTTTGAGAGAACCGAACTGAGTCTTTATTTGTGTTTGTACTAAACTCAGGATTTACTCGAGTGTTTCTCTCACACGCGGAGTCCCGGTATAGCTTACCGGTTCTACCGCTAATATTTCTCATGACTCTAATATCAGAAATATTCCAATCATAATTCCAAAACTCAATGTTTGATTATTCTGGGTTTTGGGATTCTGGATTGGTTTTTTGATAATTTGGTCCCTAGGTGCTACACGAGCAGAGGTCTATTGTATCCTTGGCTGTTGCTTTCCAGCTCCATAACTCTACGCAGTGGTCAAGAACACTCAGACCTTGAAACGAACATGCCCGCACTGATATCTGCCATAGGCTGAAAACCACATCCACGATTCTACATAGAAGCAGAACGCAGCTTCAAGAAATTCACCATCGATTTATTCACGGCAGCGTACAATATACATACAGCAAAGCTCTACACCAAAGAACAGAATACACTACTCCTAACTAGGCGGATGAAATAAGGGCAAGGGCAAATCCTCTCTGAGAGCTAACCCCATAGGTCCTTGATAATGCCATAAAGGAAGCCACTAGCGTCACAATATTCGCACCCTACTACCCAAATGCAACGCGTTTCCCTAAGTTCTTGCCACTAATAGAACAAGACCCAATGATCCCGTGAATTTAGTATATTTGTAATTATCCTTGTACTTGGGACATTCTAAAACTGGTAGGCCATGGATATTGCGTGTGATACCATAGCGTTTCTCGCGAGTTTTAGGAGAGTGAGAGGCACTGTGTGAGCTATCGTGACCTGGTCTTCAGATGTTTTACTTCGAGGTTGTCATATTTTGCGCAAAGCGTTTTACAATGAGATCATAAGACGGCAATATTTGTTTCGAAGGCGGCGACCTCATTCCCAAGGTCTTATTTGACCATATTGGCATAGTGAGTTTTGCCTTGTGCAGCGCTACGATGTGCAAGAATGGTGGCGGTTCATTCATTGATGTCGGTTTTGTGAATATTAAGGTCCGTCATATATTTAAATATAGATTTAAGATTACCAATGGCCAGTTCAAGATATATGTAGATGGGACAGTTCGGTCACAATCGATGGCCAAAGACATGTGCTTCATCATGTCTTAAAGATTTCTGTTGGCCAGGCAACATTTTATGTCAGTCATGATTACATACGTGTGTGTGATTTTTAGTAAATATATAGATGTGATAAAGTGAAGTTTTGTGTTTCCGTGCTGTGCGTTGTGGCAGTGTGTGTGTGCCCAACGATGTTGTGTTGTGCAGTAGGTGTGACACTTGTTAGTGTACGATAGTGATAAACGTCGAGGCCCACAACCTGTAAAGCATTTGCATTTATGTAACAAGTGACTCTGATTGTCCCTCTTCTGATGATTATATATCCTTTCTATCACCTAGATCATATTGAGCATTCTAGGCGGGATTCCCTTCCATACATATTGGTATGTCATAGTGATGTCATCGGAACATGACACTATTTCAGTCCGGAGCACCGAATTGACATTGTATTCTTGATATTCAATATCTGATGATTTATACAATGTCTTGACACGATGAGTTTATTTCCAGCGTCTTCTTGGTGTTCCATTGTTCTTCATGTTTGAAAATTTTGGTTAGAATATCGGACCTGATAAGTTGTTATACAATCAATTGTAATAGCTTAGAAGAACTGTTTTATTGTTGTCCGTGCTCGGGGCTTTATACTAAGCTACCTGAGATTACTTCTGCCATGACTGATTCATGAAGAGGGGAACAAATCTTTCTGATTTGATAGAGTGTAAAGTGATAGACTCTAGCTAAAGTGCAGATGTATGTCTTTATTTCTGACCTCACCTTTGGTTCTTTACTTAAGATATTTGTAATAATGTTGAACCGCTTGCGCTGGTCAGGGTAAAACCTCATATGGTCTAAATGAGAATTCTTCTGCAGAACAGTTTAACACTTCGATACTATTACATACATACTTCTACAACTTAATCTCACGCTGATCACATAGGGACGCAGCTTTTTATAGATTGGTGCGGTTAACAACCTTAGTCGACTTTTAGGAGTTGGTTGAGAAACATTAAACTCTCGAGAGTCGGTTAATTGATGTACTCGACTCTTGGGAGGGAATTTAGAAACTTGATTAGCTCTCGGGAGTAAGCCAACTTTGATGACTTCTGTTATAAATCAGAGTTTTCTTACTGTGCTAGACTCTAGCTAAAGTACAGTTGTATGTCTTTATTTCTGACCTCACCT